GGCGATTTGGACTTTGTTGTCGTCTATTTAGACGACATACTCATCTTCTCTAAAACTGCAGAAGATCATTTGGAGCATTTACGAGTGGTGTTCTCGCGTCTACAGAAGTTCAACGTGACGCTTAATGGTAAAAAGTGTCGAATTTTCTGTGCAACTGTGGAGTACTTGGGATTTACGATCAATGCAGACGGGATTAAGCCTCAGGAAAAGAAGATCCGTGCCATTCTCCAGATTCAGCGGCCGAAGAACAAAAAGGAACTACGTCGGTATCGGTATGATAAACTACTACAGGGAGATGATACCAAGAAAGACGGCGATGCTGAAGCCACTAACACGATTGACATCTCCAAAGACGGCGTTTCAGTGGACATCCAGCGAGAACAATGCTTTTGAGGAGATTAAGAAGGCGTTGGCCAAAGCAGTACTACTGACATTCCTTAATTTCTCGAAACCTTTCGAGATATATGCAGATGCAAGTGGAAAGCAGTTGGGTGGATTGATTGAACAACAAGGAAAATTAGTAGCAGCTTACTCTAGAAGTCTCACTACCGCGCAGCAAAACTATACGACGACTGAACTAGAGTTATTATCGGTGGTGGAGATCTTGAAAGAGTATAGAACAATGCTGCTTGGATTTCCTATTGTGGTCCGCACGGACCATAAAAATCTCATTTATCCAACCGAGAATTCATTGCGGGTCAAGCGATGGAAATTGCTACTATCTGAATATCATCTTACCTGCGAGCATATTCACGGAAAGGAAAATGTTGCTGCAGATGCATTTTCTCGACTGGCGTGCGACTCGGAGCAGAAGATAGGAGAGACTGAGCTGGAGGCGCTCTTGATTGATCCTGTTGAGTGTGTTCTGGAGGGCAGCTACATCAAACAATACCAAAATGAAGATTCCGCTATCCAAGACATACTCCAAGCCTGCATGAATGGTACAAACGACCCGGATTACAAGATACAAAATATCATGGGTGCACGTCTATTAACTTACCAGAAGCGTGTATTAATTCCCACCGAATTACGTCAAGAACTGGTCGATTGGTATCACACTCAATTAGTACACCCTGGTGCCAAGCGCCAGTATCACACGATGAAGTCATTCTTTTATTGGTCGGGAATGAAGCAAACAGTGGTGAGCTTTGCGAGGAGATGTCTTACATGCAAGAGAGCCAAACTCCACGGTGGACCTCAGGATTATGGCAAGTTACCACCACGAGAAATGCATACAGTCGATCCTTTCGACGTAGTGCATGTGGATACCATGGGGCCTTACGGTAGTGATCGCTACTATGCGCTAACAGTGATTGACGAAGCTACAAGATGGCTAGAAGTCTCCATTCAAGAAAATAATCGTGGTAAAACCACTGCAGAGAACTTTGACGTGACGTGGTTATGCCGATATCCAAGACCAAAAGAGGTTGTGTTTGATCAAGGCAACGAATTAAACACTACAGAGTTTCGAGAAATGCTTGCCAGCTACGCGGTCAAGCCAAAGCCAATCTCCACCAAGAACCCTCAGGCAAATGCCATTTGTGAGCGAGTCCATTTAGTCATTAACAATGGTATTCGATGCTACCCGGAAGCAGATTGGCGACAAGTGATTCAATATGCAGCATTTCCAGTACGTGCGAGTTATCACACGATTTTGGGTACAACACCAGCACATTTAGTCTTTGGGCAGGACCTGATAACGCGGCAGCTTCATGAAACGAATTGGAGCTATCTCACGAAGCGCAGATTTGAAGCAATACTGAGAGATAATGATCGTGAGAATGCTACGCGTTTGGAGCATTTCTATCATCCTGGAGATCAAGTCATGATGCAAGTTGCAGCTAAGGATCGAGGTAACAAGCATCGTCAGGTGGCCAAAGGGCCATATTCTATTGTCAAAGTGCATGCTAACGGCACCGTAACGCTGGACTACGGTGTGACGCAGCAACGCGTCAACATACGCCGTCTCTTTCCGTGTTAATCGACAACTGGCATGGGGGTGAATAACAAGACCGTCACCTACAGTAACGGCGATCGCTATGGAATGCCAGTTGACGCACACTACGTGAGACTCAGAATTCTATTTTTTCTTTCCCATATTGAAGTGCTGTAGTGGACAGCCACGCAGCAGATAAGTAGGAAAATACATTGTGCTTCTTCGTTTGTCAAAGCTAAGTCCTCTGCAAGCCAAGACTTTCAGCTTAACCCTTGCTAAGAACCCCGCTGCGAGCCAAGGGTTGTCAATATGTCACATGAGCGTAACCAGACACACTCTTCAACATCGATTCCTCTCCGTGTAGCGCAGAAAGTTCGGAAAGAGAGTACACGGCGGGAGAAGAATGCTAACGGTAGGCCGGGAGACACTCGATCATCAACGCTTAAACGAAGGACATCGCCAGCCAAGTGCGGTATCCGAGGGTTGGAGTTAGTGCTGGATGATCTCCTCGCCAAGGACCTAATCCATCGTCTTAGTGCCACCACAACCAGTACGTGACTTCTGTTCTGCGACGTCATGGATCTTCATATCACTTTCTAACCGCTGTGACTGCGTGTAGAGCCGCTGAGCTGGATGCTATCAAAGCTGAATTACTGGCATCTCCGAAAGTTCACTTCAGCGACGTCTTGCGCCTTGAAGAGACGGGCGAAGAAGCCTTTGGCCTGACTCCTCACTGCACCATCATGAACACGGCCCAGCAGGTCTCGCAGCCTGCCCCAGTTGTCGTCGTTGAGCACCGTATCGAGGGCAATCTGAAACCAGGTATGGTGATAGCCTCTATGGCTACGGATCCCCACCGACTCGGCTTCTACTTTTGAGACGCCAATACGTTGCAGGATACAAGTCGACCGTGTCCGCCAGAATGGGGTTTAGAACGGCCCATACCTGAGGGCATTTGGCTGGCCATGGAGCTCCGAGTTCAGAGTGACCACGCGCGTGTAATGGATGAACTCTTCATGCACTGTGAGAAGGTGTCGGAGAACAGATCCGACGGATAGTGGAGTCTGAATAGCAGAAAAATTGCCAGTGGAGTGTCTGTCCAAACCTGGAGCGTGGTCAATCTAGGAAATACTTGACCATCTTATAGTTCTCAAGTTCAAAGCCAAGTTGTGCGAGGCTGGAGACGAGCGCGGGATGTCATTCAAGAGCAAGAGGTATTAATTCACCAGAGCGACAACCGTGGCATGGAGGAGAACGAGTTGATGGATCTTTGTTCGCGTGAGCTGTTGGAAATGGCTGAGCAGGGCCCTCCGCTGTTGAATTGGGTCATCTTGCCAGATAAGGCTCGGTGTACTTTGGAAAACTAAAGAGGAAGTTGGATACGGTGCTAGAAATGCAAACCAGTGCGTTGTGGCGGAGAAACGACGGAAGACCAATGCGGACTTTTGTGCTAATGTTTGCTCGAAGGTTAATATGAGACTTGGTGGCAAGAATGCGGCGCTGAAAGGTGCTCTTTCGCTGATCCGTACTGCGACCTCGATCATATATTGGAGTCGATGTGGAACGTAGTAGATATGGGGTGTGTAATCAACCTGCGATTGCCGTAATTGTGGCGTCGACGGGCGTATTTTGCGAAATACGCAGCGTGTGTCAGACAAGAACCCGCGTCGCAGCATTGAAAATATGACATAAATGCTGAAATAACTATTCCTTGTTTTCTGCAAGAACACGGAGAGCAGACCGGAGCCGTGGTCTATTGCCAGGATCGTGTGAGTGTCGGTGATATGCCCAGCGTTTTTGCAAATGGGAATGCGGGCTCTGGGTGTAGCCTTCAAGATGATTTCTGGCGACTACAAGTTGTTAGTGACTTTCATTGTGGTGAATAAACGCCATCAAGCGCGAGCTTTTCCGGGCAATCCACCCGACGGAGACTCAAAGGGCAATGTGAAACCAGGTACGGTGATAGCCTCTGTGGTTGATCCCCACCGACTCGGCTTCTACATTTGAGGCGACAGTACGCTGCAGGGTATGTGTAGTGTATGACGAGGGCAGTTTATCAGCGGACGACCTGCAGCTGCTAACGTACGATTTGGGGTACACGCTTGCTCGATCGACGCATTCCGTGGCTGTGAATGTATTCTAGCTTAAATTGAAATGAGTATGAGAAATGATCAATCTTTAGCTACTTACAAGCTCAAATAGGCAGTACAAGCAGGTAAGTAGTGCAAGCTGGACAGGTCATTACTATCTCTTGCGTTGATGTGAGCTAAGCTTCGTAGCGGCTCAGAAATGGCCCGTGATATCGAGCACGACGCTAAACTAAACATATTGTGTAGCGTTTGTATAAATGTTATTTGAAGTGCATGTGATTTTGGTAGAAGAGACAATAACAGAGATTGCATCAGAATTATCATTAGAATTACAGTATTATTTTAATCAGGTAATCATGATGCTGACCCAGGTTATTGAAATGATTTAGGCGCATAGGGGCTCAGCGTTTTTTTAATAATTATTTCGCCTCCGCTACGCTTCGGCGAGAAAGCCAAAACAAGTAGAACTAAACCTAAACTACTAATACCGCCGCGCAGCGGCGGCGCTCGGCTACTGATAGAACTGCGGGAGTTTGTGGTTGTCAGGTTTCGACTTCTATATACATACACTAACTAAAAAAAAGGTTTGGATCATTTCGTTTTGACTTGTACCGTATCATTTGTTGTTGGTATGAGCTGCTTTACCATGAAATCTGTTCACAACTTTGGTTATCTGAATGTAACGCAGGCTGTCGATCTCGACACTTAAGCAATAGAGAGGCGTAAATATTGAAGAAATCCAATGCGATTGCTCGACCTGGCCGATCCACGACGTTAGATAGTGGAGACTGCAATTCGCTCGGACTCCTGTCGGAGCATACACACGCATCAATTGAAACAATCGGCGAGCCTTTGCGAACACATATACATCTCAAGTTGCTGCTCTTCTTTGCCAAAAGTCTTTCTTCACCAAGTTAGAATACACTCTTCTACATGTAGTAGCCGAATGTCCTTCCATGAGCCCAGCAAGACAACTAACGACCACGCGAGCAACACACAACACGGAAGCCTTGGGCTGGAACGTTCAGTTTGCACGCCACGAGATTCGTCCCTAACAACGCATCAGCTACAGGAATGTCGACGTGGCGTGAGCAGGTTGTGATGACCACCTCGGGCGTGGTACCGATTGCAGCGTGCAAGCTCCTTCTGCGCCACATAGCAAATTGCAAAAAGCGGCACAGCACGAAGGCGTCCAGGAAGCACTTTTTCCACTTCTTCTTGTCCGGTCTGCCATATCTTCGCTTTGCGTTGGTCTTAAGCATGCAGAACTCCCGAGGTTTCAGCGCGCAATTCTGAGGCAGCGTGTTCACCATATCGTTCTGCAACTTGAAGAGACGACGGAACACGCCCTTCCCGACAGGAACCAGAGGGTGACACCTCCCTCCGACGTACACATGACGTTCAAGTAGTAGGACAAAGGTGCTGTATTGCGTCACTTCGTAGCAGACACCACCGATCCAGACGCATCCACCCGCTTCCGGAACAAACCCGAGACTTGGACAACCAAGTGGAAGTCGCTCACTCGCAGCAGACGCTGGCCACCGCGAGACTCGATAATTTTGCGGGGCCAACTGCATCACGTGCAGGTTCTCGTCCATATCCACCGCTAGCAGCGCCAGTTTCTTCTCATACACACTGAACGATGTCGCAGATACCGCCAGAGGTTCGTAGTCCTTGGCTAGCAGCACTAACTACCTCTGCATCTCCCCCAAACGCAAGAAATGTATGCTCTTGTAGACGTCTCCGTACATGACAAAGTCCTTGACCTCACTGAGCGTCACGACGTACATCTGCGCTGTCGTAGAGCACGCAGCCGATCAGCTGCTCTGACTTAAGCTCGTAAACGATGAGCTTGGAGCCCACGGCAGCCAACACGTACAGGCCGAGCTGCGAGACCATGGAGATGGCTCCCTGTCTGTGCTCCTTGATGAAAACTAGTCGCAGCTTGGGCACATGTAGCGCCTCCTTCCCAGGTTCGGCATCCCTGAGTATGAGACCGACCAAATGGCGCACACGGGAGAAGACGCGTACGAGTTACACTTGGTGCAGACGAAACCCAGTTGGGAGAGTGGGGACGTCGTGAAGTGTGCCGTGTCCACTTTGAGCCCTACGAGGTGGTGCTCAGTGTGAAGCTCATGTATCCATCTATACGCCTCGTCTCTTATGAAGGAGGAAGTGGCATCGACGACTCCAGAGTGGAACAAGAAGAAGTGTCCATATTTGGTGGTTGGCACGGGCTGGGTGGGTCTCCATGACGAGGATGAAAGCGCCTGCTGCTGTACTATCCCTTCAATAGCGCCGTCTCCTCGGTTGTGAATCTCGGCAAGCGATAGCCCACTAGTTCCCGCATGGTTGCCGGATAGTCTCCAGTAACCAGAGGTGAGAGGAACCAGTACAGTTCGAACTGCATCTTCCTTCCCGCTGCAGGCGACGTCCAACGGGGTTTTCTCGTCGAGCGAATAGGCAGCATCTGAGTTCAATGTGATGCCGATACGAGCCTTTTGGTCGAGAACGGGTGGTGAACTTGCCTTTAAGTCTCGGAACGCTTTGACAACAGCTGCATATGAACGAAGCACGTTGTGAGCCACAATGTATGCAAAAGTGTCGGACTTTTCAGCCCTGGAGCTCCTGCACCGCTAGCGTAGCCGGCAGTAGTGAACGTCAGTGGCTCGTTGAATGTCATCCACATGTTCACTATGTCTCCCAGCTCGTGGAGCAAAAGCGTCGCGAATTCTACGTAGTGGTCGACGATGTCTGCGTGCAGCCAGCCTTAAAGAGAGAGCTCCGTGTGTAGCTCGAGCGGCAGATCCCAATGGTACAGCGTCAAGATCGGTACGATGTTGTTGGTGATGAGCTCGTCGACAAGAGCGTGGTAGAACGCAAGGCCGTGAGGGTTTAGCTGCATACGTTTGGTCTCTGGATTCCAGTTCATGGCTCTTGACCACGAGACGGAGAAGCGCGAGGACTGCAAGCCAGTGTCGACCATGAGCTTGACGTTGTCTCGGTAGCGATGGTAAAAGGCGTCAGCGACGTTGGCACACACCACTTTCGTCCTGTGGTGCGTGCGGCAGAAATCGTCCCAGATACTTGGAGTGCGACCGCCTTCGTTCCACGAGCCTTCAACTTGGTACGAGGCGGTGGCCGACCCAAACATGAAATCTGCTGGGAAGCAACGAGGGGCGTCATCGGCAAAGACTGTTGCGCGGCGCTAAACACGTGGAGAAATCGCATCCTGTCAATCCGAAGGAGAAGATCGCCCACTGAGAATCGTAGCGCTTGTCAGCGCTCTGGTCAAGCCCGCGTTCCGTCGTCTCTTCACGTTGCAGAACGTTGTGGTGAACACGCAGGCTATCATTCGATCCGACCATTCGCCAGTCTCGCACGTTTGCGCTGCGTTTGACCAGGAGGGCGTTCGGTGTGTACACTGATGACCACGCGCGGAACTATCTCGCTGAATGACGCGTCAATTATGGCAGCAATGGAGCCGTTTGGTGCCGAATATTGGTCAAAGCTGAAAATAAATGATTGGGTTACCGAACTGGCTAGACCAAAATAACCTATTGAAAATCTTCATCTCAGAAAATAAATAATTACATAATAAGTAATTACTCTGTGTGCCAATTTTGCTGCATCAATTATTTATTTTATTTATAAGACAGACATGTAGCAGAGCTCAAATGATGTAAAATCAAACAAGAATCTACTTCAAAAACAAAGTTCACGCAAACAGCCGCTATCATTTGCAGCTACTCATTAATCCTACTTTGCTCTACCGGGACAACGTTTGGCTTCAACGTCACCGCATATCTCTTTAGGTGGCTCACGTACTTGAACGTGAGGTAGATGGCCATCTGCAGCACGGCCCAGATCACCATGAGACCAGCCATGAAGTTGTATTTGCGGTTCGGTCGGAAGTCGTACGTGTCCTCGATGTACTGCGCCACCGTCATCTCCGTCGTGACACCACCGTCCGTGACGGAGATTACGTCCTGCGCCTCACCGAACTGAACGCCCACCAGCGCCGCAAGCGAGTAGCTCGACGGCATCAGGTAAGTGAACCACTTGTAGCCAGCCATCATAGCCGGACGCGGCAGCAGGTAGCCCGAGAACAAGTTGAACAGACACGACAGCGCGCCGACAGCCACGTTCACCACCTTCTCGTTGGGCATCAGAGCTGACATTCACTGACCCACGTAGGTACTAGCCGACGTGTAGAGGTAGAAGACGAACATGAAGAAGAGGAAGTCGCCTCCGTTGTAGCTCCAGCCCACCAGCCAGTACTCAATCGTCACGAACAGCACGATCACGAAGATCAGGTACGGCACCTCAGCGAGCCACAGCGACAGACTGTAGGACAGCGGACCGTAGTAGTTCGACATGTGTTCGCGGTAGAACACGGCGCGCTCGGCACACGTGACTTCCAGCACCGTCATGAGGTTGATGACACCGATGAAATCCATACTGTTGTAGATGAGACCGATGTGCAAGTCGATGCGCTTGACGCTGTCCGCCTCGAGCTGGTAGAAGGTCGGACCGAAGATGACACCGAAGCGAGGGAACAGGAACATGCGCAAGAAGTGGTACTGCGGGTTGCGCCAGTACGTGAGCTGCTGCTTAACGACGAGCTCCTTCAACTGGTTCAAGAAGCCCGTGGCGATCGGCGTGTAGTTCAGAGTCGAGTGGCACACAAAGTCGCCGGACACTTCAGCCAACTGCAGCGTGCGCTCGCGGTTCGACTTGTACAGCTCGCTGTTCTTGTACTCGATCGAGTAGTCCTTGACGTCACGGCCACGTGGGGTTTGTGAAGTGTGGAGGAAGAGCCAGGACTGCGTCCAGCTCAAACCTGAGGCTCAGGTGCCTCCAGGACGCGATGCTCGCGTCCAGAAGCCGGCCTTCGACGGACCATTGGCTGGCGAGCCGCCAGCCCCATCCTACTGCTAATCCTACCAATATATGTTACCGGGGTTTTTCCGTGTGCTGCTACACACTCGACAACTTGCGCCGTCAAGAGCAAGCAGCAGCACTCGGTTTTCTCCCCTGCTGGACTTTCAGTCCCTGCAACTTACTGTTGTTACGACTACTTCCTTCATCACAATGGTCACCACTCGGCGTAGCCGAGGAGCGACCATCACTCAGGTTATGAGCCCAAGAAGGAGAGCTGGAAGCCCAGTCCGGAGTACGCAGAGCTCGCGCGCGTCCGACGAGTTGCAGTTACCTGCAAGAGCAGACGAGACAACGTCAAACGAGACACATGCGACGTCACAAGCGTCATCAACCCGAGTTGAGCAACAACTCGAGCTCTTATTGGCCCAATTCGGTACCGTTATGACTACACTGACAAATCAGCAGCAAGTGCAGAACATTCCAGTGGAAGCATCTACCCGACGCCCACAAAGGCAGCTCATTCAAGAATTCTCAGCGGCTCGAGCACAACCGCAGCGAGTGCCGACGCCGTACGGGCCCCCGCCGAGGAAACCCAAGCACAGAGGAACTTACCGCCGACGCCAGCACGCGTCAGAGCGAGCCGCCAAGAAACCCAAGAACGTCCGAGGCTGCAGCGCAGCCAGTCCAGACCGAGGCCGGGACCGACTCCGCTCCGGACGAACCCATGGTTGGAGACCCACAGATGCACGCGGTGCATGAACCAGAGCGGACACGTGCAGTTGAACGCAAGACTTATCGATACCAACTACCCAGACGTGGCGCGTCGAGATTTGCTCCATTCTCGACGTCGCACACCTCTTGGACCCCATCATGGAGCGCGAAACGATGGCAGACCAACGTAACGAAGGACAGCGCGGCTGTTTCAAGCAACGACTGCGTGTTGCTCAACGTGAACTTACGACGGGACTTAGTCAAGAGCTACAGATGCGATTTACAAGTGTTATTCAACGTGCTGATCCTATCCTACTGTGGCGAACACTGGAAGATCATTTTGATAACCATCCTGGAGTAAACAGCGTGTTTCTCAAGCGAGATATGCTGAATCGTCGCCTGCAACGTGACGAACGACTTGACGATTACATTCGTGACATCGACGACTACCAACAGAGACTTCGCCGCGCGAACAAGCAGCTGCCTGAGCAGGAAGCCGTCTCTATCCTATTGTCAAATACAGTGGGTGTGTACCCAGCGGTGGTAAACGAGCATGAAGTACGTATTGGACGTGATGAGTCCATTACGTGGGAGCAAGCGATCGAGCGCCTTCGACTCGCTGACCACTCACGCCAAGAGACTGAACTACAGCAAGGACGTGGTGGAGGTGGACGTGCCGTCCAGCGAGATGTTGCATTTGTTGGTGGCCGTGGCGACGGACACAACGACGGAAGAGGACGTCGAAACTCGAGCAGCAGCCAAGCACGAGGCAACAACAACCGCAACAATCGTCGCAGCCGCAGCTCATCGCCGCGTGGGCGGAACAAGCGGCAGAAGAGCAAGAGCTCATCCAGTGCGAGGGATGACATCGCCAAGCGAAAGGCGAAGACGAAGTGCAACACGTGCGGAGAGCAAGGACATTGGAGTGGCGATCCTGAGTGCCGCCAGCGTGGCAACAATAACAACAACAGCAACTCGAGCAACCCGCCGCGCAGGATGATCGATGTGGTTACTGTGAAGACAGCCAAGTCGGCTGCACCGACTCAAGCTGAAGGTCAAGAGCATGTACTCGCGGTGCGTGACAACTTCAACTACAAGGACAAGGACAAGGACCAGGACATGGTGGAGTGGGTGTTGGATAGCGGCGCGCAGACCAACGTCTCGAGCGACCTTACCTTGTTTACGGAGCTACACGAAGACTCAGTTGCAGAGCTAGTCTTCGGCAACGGCACAACCGAGCGCGCAACTGTGGGCACAGTGCTTATGCAAGTGCTGAACGAGCACACGGGCAAGATCGAGGAGCGCCTCCTTGATGACGTGAGCTACGCCAAGTCGGCTGCCTACAACCTGATCTCGCAGACCTACATGCAATTCAAAGGAAACTTCAAGGTGCGCATCTCGCATGATCAGAAGACTACGTGGCTGGTCAAGGACACATTGAAGCTGCGCTTCAAGTACATCCGCGGGATGTACCGCATGTGGACGCCACGTCAGAGCAAGAACGTGATGAGCGTCAAAGCCAGTGAAGCTGAGAACCCCATGACGTTGCTGCACAGCCGCATGGGCCACGTAAACATGGAGACTATCAAGACTATGGCAGGAGACTATAACTTTGGCATCAACATGCAGTCGAAGAATTTTGCTCTCTATGAATGCATTCCATGCTTAGAGTCAAAGACGAAGCGCATGAGCTACAAGCGCAAGCCGTCTCGCTCTGCAAAGCCCTTGCACAAGCTTTGTGTCGACCTATGCAGTGTTGGAGTGGATACAATATCGAAATCAAACCAGTTTCTATTGATTATCGACGAAGCTACGAGATACAAGTGGGGATATCTATTAGCCTACAAAGACGAAGCCACGGAGCTGATTCAGAAGCAGATTCGCTGGATCCAGAACCAGTTCCCGAAGGCGACCATCAAGACGCTGTTCTCCGATGGTGGTGGCGAGTTCGTCAACATGCAGCTCGAGACCTTCTGCAAGGACCTCGGCATCGACACGTGTTCATCCAATCCCTACAGCCCGCAGGAGAACGCTATCGTGGAGCGCACGAACCAGAACCCATGCGGCAGGTCAGATCTATGTTACAAGCTACGCAAATGCCTGTTTCATTATGGGGAGAGCCTTCCTACATGCAATTGAGACGCTCAACAAGACGCCGACGCCGGTGTTGAAGGACCAGCAGTCCCCGTACGAGGCCCTGTACGGAGAGCGGCCAGACCTCAGCGTGCTGCGCACGTGGGGGTGCTTGGTACACGCGCACATCCCTGATGATTCTCGGCAGAGAAAGGAGAAGCTCACTCCAAGGACGCAGATGTGCTTACTACTTGGCTACAGCGAGAAGACCAAGGGCTATAAGCTGCTGAACCTGCGCACAGGATCAGTGACGACGTGCAGAGATGGAAACATGAAGGCACATGAGAAGTACACGGTGAACACTGTGTATATTGAGCAACTTCTTGCAAACACCTACGCTTACGGAGACTACGGCTTACCTGCGGAGATCCCGATCGTGCCGATCCGGACGACAATGTCTACGTACCTGCAGCTTCCTGCAGAGCTTGCAGAAAGGCGAGCAGCGGAGATGGCGAAGCTGGCCACTGCTGGTGAGAGCCATGACCAAGGTGTTGAAGTTGAAGCCGAGTCTGCGACTCGAAGTGATGACCCACAGCTACCAAGCGAGGACGCTAAGAAGCCAGCAGCTTCAGTGGGAGGTTCCAAGCGGAAGAACACAAAAGGCAAGAATAAAGCGAAAGCATGTGCAAATCGAGTGGGAGCCTCGAAGGCCAAGGACAGTCGACGTGATGCTCACGAAGACGAGAACTGGGAGCCATGCACGACGCAGAAGTCGTCGCCAGACGACAGTGCAGCTACGTCGCGACCGAAGCGGAAGCGACAACCATCCGCCCGACTCAAGGACTACGTAGTGACGAATGTGACGAAGCAGAACGTCGAGGATGTGCAGATCCCCATTAGTCACAAGCATGCGGCAAGGTCAAAGAAGTGGAAGGAGTAGAAAGCAGCGATGCAAGTTGAGATGGACTCACAGCAGCAGCACGAAACTTGGGTGCTCGTGCGACGCACGGAGGCCAAGGGCAAGCGTGTCATTTCGTGCAAGTGGGTGTACGCGCTCAAGAGAGACTCTACGGGCCGGATTAAGCGATATAAAGCTCGACTAGTGATCAGAGGCTTTCTACAACGCATGGGCATCGACTACAGTGAAACATACGCACCTGTTATCAGATTTGAGACGATCAGATGCGTGATCGTATACGCGCTGCAACGCGGATGGGCCATCTTGCAGTTCGACGTCAAGACCGCGTTCTTGTACGGTGACCTCGACGAGGAGGTCTACATGGAGCAGCCTCCAGGCTTCGGAGAAGACTCTACGCGCTATGTATGCAAGCTACAGAAGAGTTTGTATGGGCTAAAGCAAGCGCCTCGCGTTTGGAACAAGACATTGCACAAGTTCCTGACGAAGATCGGACTCGAGCGCCTCGACTCTGACTACGGACTCTACGCCAGGAAAGTGGGAGGAGAAGTCACCATGTTGCTCACGGTGTACGTCGACGACCTACTGCTCCTCGGCCCTAATGACCTTTGCGCTAAGGTTGCTATGCAACTCAGTGAGGAGTATGAACTCACATCTCTCGGACCAGTCAAGTATCTACTAGGCGTGGAGATACTGATCGACAGCGAGCGTCGACATGCGGTATTTTGCCAGCGGCAACATATTACGGAGGTGCTAAAGCGATTTCACATGGAGGGGTGCAACGCGGTTGCAACACCGGAAGCGCTGCGCGCTGAGGTGGTCACAGATGCGAAAGATGACTCCCCGCCCCCGTACCGAGAGCTCGTTGGTGCACTACAATATCTGGTCTCAGCCTCAAGGCCGGACATTGCGCACGCTGTGCGTAATCTCAGCAAGTACCTGTCCTGCTTCGACCACACACACTACGCTATGGGAAAGAGGGTGCTACGCTACCTGAGTGGTACTCAAGACCACGGCTTAGTGATGGACATTGTTATTGGGAACGACGTCAAGCTGACGTGTTACACCGATGCTGACTACGCTAATGACCCTGATGACCGAAAGAGTGTTAGCGGGTTCGTGACCGTTCGTCAATGGTAACGTGGTTTCGTACGGATCAAGAAAGCAAGAGATTAACGCACAGAGCACAACGGAAGCAGAGTATATTGCCATGAATGAAGGCACTAGAGATCTACAGTGGCTACGTGGACTCTGTGAAGAACTATGCTGGGAGTTCGCGACTCCGGAGATTATCGGCGATAACAAGTCGTGCATCTATCTGACTGCCAAGCCTGGCAAAGCACAGC